TTGCACCGTTATCATGAAATATTATTTACCAAATAAATCGAAATTTCTATTTGCTTCTTGGGCTTTTTTATTTTTAGCATAATGGCCTTTTGTGTCAGTCTTATTGTAACTATTAGGTCACATGTTGACGTCATTATCTTCTGCTCACTGGCTTATAGGGTTGCCACCTTTTTGTTAAGCGAAAATTTTTGGGAATCACACATTTTACTAAAATTATTTTTCAAAAAACCCAAGGTCAACTAGTATGATTTAGTTTTAAAAAATGCTATAAAATTAAAACTTTGTGTTAATGTTCGTCTTGGGTGGTGTATCTGGCGTTTCACTATCAATATCACTCATATTTTGTGGTAGTACAAAACAGCAAGCAGGAACCCACAACGAATGTATAAATTCTACTTGCATGCACAATAAGTGTATAAGGCTCGGTGAATACCGGAAAATAAACCGAGCGGCATGGCCTAGAGGTTTAGACCATTGCTTAGCATTTGGGAGGACGCTGGTTCGATTCCGGGGGCAGTCTGTCGTGGTCCAAGTTTTTCTGTGGTTTCCTTAGGTCACTAAGGTAAATGCTGGGGCAGTAATATTCCACAGATAATCTTTTATTCTCTTCTGTCTTCATTTCGTCCGTCTTATCTTTCTCACCCGAACCACTACCCACCCATTCCCACGATTCCTGAAGCACGCTGAAGGGAGCCTTCCGCCCTACCTTCCGTCGTAGTCCGGAGGGACTGCCCGCCCACCAGCATCACTGGTTGTTGGAAATGAAACACCCAAAAGTTTTTTTTCCGAAAATAGGCAGATCATACAACCATCCTGCAGAATAAGTAAGCAATAAATCTAACTATTCAACAACATAGCAAACGTTGTTCTGATTTCTCATTTGTTGTTCCTAGCAGCGTTTTTGAATTAGAAAATATCTATTGCTTGGAGAATGGTAGGAAAACCAACCTTTTTTGAGTGTTGACTGGTACTGGGTCTTGTTAATGAAAAACCTAGACCGGTGGAAAACCGACCTGATAGCAGCCCTACTGGGCTACTACATTTAAAGCGTATACAGCTCATCTAATGAAACTGCTCAATAATTCAGAATTTGCAAAATTCATGTAGTATGTAGAGGTAGTTTAGAATTTCGTGGGTCATGACCTTGAGTTGCACAGTGACAAAACTCCGCATGTTCATTGTTTCACTAAAAACATTGGCCGTCTAACCGTCGTCGTTGATATGGTTAGTAGTCGAATCAATGTTTTTGAAGTGTACTATATTAATGCAATAAGGTCGCCCATTGCGCATTTCTCGGCCAAGGATATTTTAAAATACCTTCTACCTATCTACAAAGTGAACGCGTGAATAAAACTACCTCTCTCCAGCTAATACGACTGGGGAAGTACCAAATATGTACGTATGTAGGGGACTCACAGCAACAACTTAACAACAACGGTGAAATCGGTTTTTAAGGCATTGCTTTACATTAAAGAAAGTTACGTAGACGGACGAATAACATAATTAATGTACTGGTGATATAATGCGGGGTTTCTGTAATGCGCAATTGACATTATCGTGATTCTACTACATCTACTAATACACCTGATTTTTAATCGTAAACTGCTTTGTCAATTTTGTTTTCAACCTTTCGGGTTATCTAATAAAAATTGACATAACACGTGCCAAGATTGATTTGCCAATTCAGAGGAAAGTTTCATTGGAATAACCTTCATTTTTAAAAATTGTAATTATGTATGTATTGTACAGTCAATTCTCTTCCTGTAGGTATATGTAAGTCGAAAAATAACTGACGACAAAATGTTTGCTTGTGCTTGTAGATTACAAAGCATTGAAATGTTGCAAGGTGGCTTACGTAACTGTTAACTTCTAGAATAACTTGCACAGGTAGTAGCCATGGTTAAAATTGAAGGTCGGACCCCGGTTTATCGCAACTAATAAACTAACAGCTGTTTACGTACATTTATCAAAAAGTTCCTAGTAATTTTTAAGCGTAAAATTTAACAAAAATTTTATAGAAAAAAATCAAGCACAATTACATTTTCAAAGAAAAAAGCGCATTCATTTAAACAGATTTATTTCTTACCTATTTGCTTACCTGTGTTGTATTATTAAAAAAATCTTGCAGATGGTGTGAAGATATAATGAAGTAAGGTATAAATATGTAAGTGTTATTTTGTAAAATAACCGCTATTGATTGCGCAAAATAACATGAATTAAGTTAGTGGGTCAGTAAAGTATGTCAATAATCATCAGCGAAGCTAAGCAAACCGTTCTTGTTCTCTGTCATTGCATTACTACGTGATAACAAGAGACAGTACATATATACATTATCTATGAATATACAAATATGTAGTTATAGGTAGTTGTGGGTATTTTGTAACAGTTACATGAAATTCTCAAACAATTTTAGCAGTTTTAAAACTTCAATTTTCGACCTTTACATGTAATACCCACAACCCATTATGATACGTTACCAAAACAACAAACATTGTTAGGTACAATACAAGTAGGTACGGATAATACCTGTACCGAAGTGAAATTATATAAAAGCAATAGAAAGTGCTTCCTTCTGCTGTGATCTAGGTATCTGTCTATCGATTGGTATGCCACAAATGTTAAATAGAGCGAAAAATAAAAGTGAAACGTTTTACAGCAAAAATAATTGTTGAACACTTACACAAAATAAAATTTTCAATAAAATGCATAACTTTTGTATGAACATGGGTATCCCAACAGTTACAATTTTATTCACATAATTTATTTTATCCAACTTCAGTTTTTTCTAATAAAATTTGTGATTGGTTCTATTTTTTTGTATTAATGAAATAAATACTGGTGTGTTGGAAGGCATGAATAGTTTAAATTTTAAAGAAATTGTCCTTGACACGTGCTTTTAACCTAAATCCGTGTGCTCGAAACCTACAAAGGCGGTGCGTTAACTGATGGAGGTCTCTTATTGTACCAGTAAATTTCAAATAAAAGTAACTATTAATATGAATTTAAATACTTTTATAATTGGATGCTTTTCTTGTTACCAGGTGAAAATACTGTACGGTTCCATAATAATAATAATCATAATTAATTAATAGTGGAACATCTTGTTCAGGGATATTCACAAATTTCGTTGTGCTAAACATACACTTTCACTTGGTAGGTTTTATGCTTTGTTGCAATTTTGTTTAGTTACGAAGCTCGTTTCTTTTAGTCATCGTTTATGATAATAGCGATGAGACTAGACTAAAAATTATAACCCACACATCAGTTTTACATGATTATGCAATTACAAGGGAGAGTACGATTAATATATGTACATTTTATAGTTAAACTGCAATTCCATTTTACGGTTAGTAGTATTTTACTTATCGGAAGTAAATTAAATGCTTATGATTTAAGATGTTGAGTTTCTGTAACATTGAATGTCGTTTTTATCTTTGAAAAAAAAATTTTTGTTTCATTTGCAATAAATAGTGAAAAGGCGGCAACGTTGTCACTTGCTCACTCTCTTCGTTAGTTCATACACGACGACCTACTTGTTCCGCTTTCAAGTCAGAATAGCGGAATCGTCGCATTTTTACCTTTTTCTAACTGTATTTTCACAGTTATTAGGCTCATTTAAAACTAACAAGTCCTCGTTCAGACACGGATATTCCGGTAATCAAAATGATCGATTTTTCGGGATACCTATAAAAATAAGCGAAAGGCATATAATTTATTCGTTTATTAATTTACCACAAACAAAATATGTCAAATAAAAAAAACATGATAAACACAATTGCTATCTATTATTACTACTTATTTATTAAAAATAATACTTTACCGAAGGAAAATGCACTTCGTTATTATTGTGTATAACCTCTGTACACATGTATAAGAAGGGTATAATGCAATGAGTTATAAGTAACAATTATAATACAGTCAAATTTCTGTAACTCTTCTTTTATACTCCCTTGACGTAAATTTACATTTATTCCAAACTCTTTAACATGAATCTGTCTAAATTTTTCTCAAATTCGAGATTCCAGTACGTGTTTTACATTGTAGATTATCTTTTTAATTTGCGATTAAATTTTCCTTTTAAATGGAATTTTCTTTAACTCGAACATAACTGGTTGCTTTTATGAAGTTCTAGTTAAGGAGGCCTGACTGTAATACATTACTTGATGAAACTGTAATACTTATATAAGCGTGACTTATGAATAATTTTTTTAATATCTTTATCGATTAAAGTTAAAAGAAAACAAAAAGTCTGTACAGAAGTTAGGAAATATGTGTGTACAGTAACAGTGAACGATTGCAAAAGTAAGAGAAAAAAGTGAAAGTTAACGAAGTCCATTAAGTATTGGGTTACAAAAATTTTTCTTAATATATCAGGTACTTGCTGTTTATAAACTTCAATTTAAAATAGGTACTAGATATGAAGTACGTATGCTTTACTTTTATCTATATAGGCGTTTATTCACATATAAAAACTTAGATAAAGTATTCTATTAAGTAACTTGTTAATGATGACATATGTGGGCGTTTATTTCATAACATCCGTTAATATGGAATGTAGTTTCTTTTACAAAATTGAATATCAATGACAAGTAAAACAAGCGTCAAGAACTGAAATGGAAATGCTATTATTTTATGTATTTTGTAGTACTTTTTGTTAAGAAATACTTTACAATAGGTACAACAGAAATGTTTTCATTTAGTATCTACTACTTATCTAAAAACAATAATTATTTACTTAAAATGTTATTTCTTGATGTAGCCTCCAATTGGAACACTATTTTTTTATTGGTTAACGCAATTGTGTATGCTTTTTTTTTATTTATTTCTTAACTTCAATGGAGGCCAACTACATCAAACCATAATGATTGAAATTAAGAACTAGTAGGCAATAATTAAAGGTTAAATTCAATATAAAATAAAATATTCCTCATGAATTAATATTAAAAATTTTTGTTAACGGTATACTTCTGTCTTATTTTGATTAATGTTTTTTATTTCAGGCAGTAGACTGGTGGTCTGTAGGCGTATTAACCTATGAACTTTTGACGGGGGCATCACCGTTTACCGTTGAGGGTGAAAAAAATACCCAACAAGAAATCTCTAGAAGAATATTAAAAACAACCCCTCCTATTCCTGATAGTAAGTGTAACATTGACAAAATAATTTGCATATCTAGATTATCATTTTCAAATCGTAAAAAAACAACGTTGTTTTCGATAAGCTCTAAGTAAACTTTTAGACAGAATCGCAGAATGTAATGCAGTGAGAAATGTTCTTTAATAATATAATTAGCTACTAGTCTCAAACAAGATATTGAAATAAAATATTTGAAAATACCAAATTACAGATTGGCATATATTTATTATATATTTTTTTTTGTAATGCTATTTTCTTTTATTGAAGGTTTAGGGAAGGACGTTGCTGACTTTATAAGCAAACTACTTGTTAAAGATCCGAAAAAAAGACTGGGTGGTGGGGAACGAGATGCTGATGAACTGAAAAGGCATCCTTTTTTTAGGAGTTTGGATTGGGACTCGTTGGCAAAAAAGAAAATCCCATCCCCGTTTAAACCTATTATTAAGTACGTAATAATTTTTCTTTTTTTAATAAGTTATTATTATTTTTTTAATATTGTAGGTGCGAATTGGATGTGTCAAATTTTAGTGAAGAATTCACCCAGATGCCTGCAACAGATTCGCCAGCTGTGGTTCCTCCAAATTACGATAAGATTTTTAAAGGATACTCGTACGTGTCGCCGTCTGTACTTTTTTCAAAAAATACCATTTCTGATGATATTTTGAAACCAGTTTACCGACAAGACGATACGTCATCGCTGGTTCAATGTCAACTGAACGACTCGCCATTTTTTAAAGCATATAGCATAGATTTAAATGAAAAAATATTAGGTGATGGTTCGTTTTCGATTTGCAGGAGGTGCGTTCAAAAAAGCACCGGATACGAATACGCTGTGAAAATTGTTAGTCGGAAAACTGATTGCACACAAGAAATTAGTTTACTAAGAGCATGCCAAGGACACCAAAACATTGTTAACTTGCATGATGTAATTATAGACGAAGGACATACGTACTTGGTTTTCGAATTATTGAAAGGTGGCGAACTGTTCGATAGAATTAAGAAAAAAAACAAATTTACAGAATCAGAAGCATCGACGATAATGCGAAAATTGGTTTCTGCAGTAAGCTTTATGCATTCTCGCGGAGTCGTCCATCGCGATTTGAAACCCGAAAATTTGCTTTTCGTTTCCGATTCAGAAGATGCAGAAATTAAGGTTGTCGATTTTGGTTTTGCTAGGTTAAAACAGGAAAAAGAAAGTTTACATACGCCTTGTTTTACTTTAAATTACGCAGCACCTGAAGTTTTAAATGGCAATTCCAAAGGATACGACGAAAACTGTGATTTATGGAGCTTAGGTGTGATTTTATATACAATGCTCTGTGGTCGGGCTCCATTTCATACGGGTTCTCGTAACGACAGTGCAGCAATCGTTATGGCGAGGATTAAAGGTGGAGAATTCGATTTTAGCGCACCTTCTTGGAACGGCGTTAGTACTGAGGCAAAAGCTGTCGTCCAAGGTTTGCTGACTGTCAATCCTGAACAAAGAATGCAAATGAGCCATCTGGCCAACAACTCCTGGATCCAAGGAAATCAAACCTTCCATCAGAACTCTTTAATGACACCTGGCGTTCTTTCTTCTAGCGGTTCCGCTGAAAGAGGCCTCCAAGCCACGTTCGACGCCTTTCACAAAGCAGAAAAGGAAGGATTTCGACTACAAGATGTTCTTAATGCCAAACTGGCTCAAAGACGTCGACTTAAGAAAAGTTCCTCTGATAATTTGAGCACGTCTTCTAGTAGTTTTACCAGCGAAAGTTCATTAAAAAGCAACCCCGCAACGCCTTTGTCTTCTAAGTCCAAATTTTCTCTCGACCTTAAAAAGACTGATAGAGGAAAGACGAAAAGTAAACCGAGTTCCAGTTCGCTCGAACAAAGAGATAGCGTTTTCGATTTTGGTGATGTAAAAGTAAAAGAGTACCTGAATACTATGAGCACAGATCTTCTCGATACAGTTACTGCTCAAGATAAACAAGTCGAATTAGTCAATAAAGATGCAGCTGCCGAAAAGAATAGTTCAGAAACAAAACAGAAACGCAAAAGAAAAGTTTATCAAGTGACGAGGAAAAGTGAAAGAATCAGGCGAAGGAACGAAATTGACGCAGATCCTTTACCGTTTTTGATGTTACCATACAGAACGAGAAAGAGAAAGTTAGACGATAATAGTTCAAAAGATGACGTTAAAAACAATGACGATAAAACAGAGATTTCTGGCCCATCAAAGGCAAAAATTAGAAAAAAGACTAAGAAAGCAAAACGGAAAATTAATCGATAGTTTTAGTTATAGTAGTTTTCATTTAAAAAAAAAAATTAATTTAGTAAAGCGTTGTGGTGAACAATTGTGATAAGGTAACATAAGGCAAAATGAATTATGTTATAATAAATGAATTTTACAGTTATTGTTAGCGAAACGGAAGGATATTCCAAAAGGGTTTGTTATGATATGAACGTAAGTGCACTTCATTAGGACAACTTGTTGTAGTTATCGTTTAATTTTTAGATAGATTGTTCTAATACCAAATATGTTGTAATATTATGTTTGTAATTATATTACAAACGAGCGGCGTAATTATTTCAATAGTAAATTATTTATATTATATGGTACATATTAACAATAATTATTATTGTAACTGCGTTATATACAAAGTGAGTAATATTTTTATAAAAATAAAAAGAATCAGGTGAGTGGTATGCTACGACGTGCTGATGTTACCTTTACCAGAAACAAGTATTTTTAGTAGGAGTAATTATAAATTTTATTTGTGTTGTATTTTGTTAAGTTTAGTCGTTTTGTGAATGGAATCAATCTATTTCCATGAGCATATAGAGCAAGCAGTAATGAAAGGAAAAGAAATTTTAAACTCGATATTTTCTTTTGCGTCTAGTATACTTCTACTTCTTTTATGACTAATTTATAAAGTGAAAATGATTGATAATATTCGCGTATCAGTTCTTATATAACTGGCTCGCATTAATTGGTACTTTTAATCTCGTTCTCTATATTTTATGGGTTCACTATTTATGCTCCACATTTTTTTTGTCAACTTTATTTATACATCATATTATGTATATCGCACTCAGGTATTTATTTGCTGAGAAAAAAAGTATACAAAAACTTGTCGTTTGTTTTTTCGCAATTAAATTATTATTTTTTAACTGGACTTTGTTTTTCTTTTGCTGATTCCTGCCTACTACCTTGAAAACTGCCTGCCTACCGTAATTAATCTAAACCTTTTATATCAAATTAATAGTAAATGAATAAGTATACCTAAAACAAAAGGGTTGGTATGTACAGGAAGTGAAAGTAAAATTAGGAGCTGGTATAAAAATTGGAAACGGAAAACTAAAACTTAACGGTTTTAGATATCACAAGATGGAAAAAACGGTAGACATAAAACTAAGAATAGCACAAAGTTGAATTGTTTTTCGCCTTTAGCTAGTGAATTATTAATTATTTGTGTTCTAATTTGCAAGAAATGCGAAAATCATCTCAGGATAGGAAGGAATAAAATTTTACTGGCTCTTCATGTATCATTTTAATTTTAAGTAATTTATAATCAAAAAGTGACTTAGTAATAATAATCTCCATAGATTAGTGCTGTATGATACATTATAAACATATATTTATATAAAATAATGACCGGTTTTAAATTATTACTATTTCTTCTTTATATCCAAAATGAAGGTTCTTATTTGCATCGGTTTCAGTTCAATTTTAAGTTTATTTGCTATAGAGAACGCTGGCATCGTTTTGTTTGATACTTTATCGGTAGTCGAAATACTATTTGAATTTACTAGACTTTGTTTCCATATTCTCCATTTCGGATCATTGTTAGCATTTCCGTGAGTTATTTCAGCTAGGTTACTATTGGCGGTGTAATTAAAGCGTAATCGTTTGTTTTCTTCTAACCATTGATTTGCGCCGAGGGTTGTTTCGCTTATGGAAGTTATTTCGAATGGTACAAAGAGATTCTGGAATAATAAATTTAAGAAAATGTAGAAATCGTCATTTACATTTTTACTCACATAAAGGTCGACTACTTGCGAGATAGACAAAGTGGGATCCTCGCGTGCTTCAAACACATGTTCTAAGCGTAGCAAAAAAGATTTTCCTATCCATGGTTCAAATGTAAGAATTTGAACATTTCTTGGTAAAGCTCTAGTTAAACCGTTATATACTAACAGGTGTTTTGCTTTATATTGCTGAAATGAAAGACCATTCGTGGGGGCTAAGAACGTCCAAGCCGATAGTAGCTTTCGTTGTGCGACATCCTTTTGTTGAGATGCTAGACTCTCACTTTCTGAAATGCACTGGTTAATATTAACAGTGACTAATGCAGTGATGTTAGAACAACTAATTACCAGTAGATTTTGAAAACAATCCAGACATTAAATAATGCGAGCCTCTTACCACAAGACCTTTACCGTATGCCTTTTCCTGTAAAGCTTCATTAACACCGAAAGCATCGTCGTGTATGCAGTCTCTGTGAACCTTTAAAAATATCTTTATAATAATCTCAATAATATAAATTTCGCTATATAATCTATATGACAGGGATGCACACTGTCACCGCTACTTTTTAATCTATACATCGAAGACACGATCAACATCAATTAAAGACAGTACAACTGTAGGGAGAGATATACAGTGACCAAAGATTAGTATACTTAGATTTGCAGATGCTACAGCAGTATTAGCATCTAGCTAGGAGGAGTTAGAGATAGCTTTAAATAAAATGGAAGCAGTATTGACAAAACAATACTGTACGAAAATAAATAAAAGTAAAACAAAAATATTGGTATGCAAGGGAAGGAAAAGTAGGGAAGGAGCGAATATAAAGATGGGAGACGAAAAATTAGAAGAATTTGCCGATTTCTAGGAATTTAGGAAGTCTAGGTACCTAGGAAGTCAGATAAGTCAGGATGGAAGGAGTAGAAGGGATATAAAGTAGAGAATAGCGCAGGATCGAGTCACCTTCAATAAAAAGTCAGTTCTATGCTCGCGAAAGGTTAATTTAGAAATTCGAGAAAGGTTGTTAAAGATGTATGTTTCGAGCACGGCGCTGTACGGGTGCGAAACATGGACAGTGAACGCGGTGGAATAGAAAAGGTTAGAAGCGTTCGAAATGTCTTGTTACATACGAATGATGAGGATATCGTGGATAGAGAAGGTTAGAAATGAAGAGGTATTAGAAAGAGTAAGCGAACAGAGGACTCTATGGAAGTCAATAAGAAATAGACTAGATAGGTTAGTAGGACACCTTCTCAGGCACGAAGATCTAGTCAGAGACATATTAGAGACAGAAACGGGAGTTAGGAGGGGTAGAGGTAGACCTAGATTAGATTACTGTTCGGAGATAGTTAAGGATATGGTTTGTAATAGTTAATAGAGTGGAGGTACGTGTCCAACCAGTCTTAGGATTGATGACCTTCTGATGATGATGATGATGATGATGATGATGATGATGATGATGATGATGATGATGATGATGATGATGATGATGATGACGAAGATCTAGTCAGAGACATATTAGAGACAGAAACGGGAGTTAGGAGGGGTAGAGGTAGACCTAGATTAGATTACTGTTCGGAGATAGTTAAGGATATGGTTTGTNTATGATGATGATGTTGATGTTGATGATGATATATTCTATAATCTATATAAAGATAGGCACATATTTATGTGTTAAAACAGGGAATAACTATATAATAGTATTGTAAAAACATGAAGAAAATCTACATGTTCAAGTTTAATGCCTGTTTATTATTTTAATGTACTTACCATGAGCTCAATTTCTCCGTCGGTTAAACTGGATCCTCCTTGACTCCTATCAGTAAGGATACTTACTTCCAAATCCTTTTTTTCGTCCCGAATAGATATTTTCGATGTTATAGGGTAATAGTTTGCTGATACATTTTCTTTACCAGTGAATTTCCACGTCGGTCTAAAATTTCTTACCCTTTTTAAAACCTCACGACCATTAGAATCAGTGTAAAATGCCGAATTGGTTTGTAAACCAGTAGTGTATCGAGTGATAATTTCTTTTCCGTTCTTCTGACTGCGCATAAAGCATTATTTTAGTTTTTACCAGATGATAAAACAAAAAATGAATAATAAATACTCTTGAGGAATGGGTCCAATAAGCCAATCGAATTCTACAAAATTTTCCATGTTGTAGATGCGAATCGTTTGACTTATCCAGTCGTTGAAAGTCTGTCGTATTTCAGCGGTTAAATTGCCTAAATAACTTTCCACTGTGGCCTTTTTGGATATCGTGTACGCGGATGTTCCATTTGGTCTAAATATGTATGCACCCGACGATCTAAGCGCCGCATTTGAATTACTTCCAACAGCTCCACCATACAATAAAAATTGTTGTCTCATTGGTATATACATTCCATTTAGGTGGATACCCGCAAGAAGCCCTGTATTTTCGTCGTATGTGAAGCTTGAGGTATTTGTTCTAATTTCCACATTTCCTTTGTTATTTCTGTACATCTTAATTTCAATAAAAGTAAAATTTAAATAGCGTAGGGCGATTAAAACGAATAAACTTACAGTGGATTCAATTTTATTAAATACTTCATCCTCATCCGATTCGGTACTATTATTAGTTACATAGAATGTTTTGAATCCCAGCGGCGGTAGATCCGCAGCTAAAAACAGTATCTCGTGGGTAGCAAGACTTTTCCTCCCGGGAATTTTCAAAATTGCTCTAGGCAATGGTATTTTCTCAACTGGAATTGATTTTCCTGAAAGTATATGATATGTTCTTTACTACTGATTAATTATTCATTTAATTCGGAAGTCTTGCCTTCAGGATCCAAGACAATAAACTTGACATCGAGTACAGGTAAACGAACGTAATGATCGACTGGGCGACTCAATGGATTATAAATTGTAACTACAAAATTAGTTTCTTTTTCGGTAAGAGCGCATTCGCTAATATTAAACTGGCATTGTTGGTATGGATCTGGGGGTGGAGAGCTACGTGAACCGTTAGTTGATAATTTTCTTGAAAAAAGTAAATTTTTTTTAAATTAACAACAAATAATTATTTTATTACTTTAGGGCTGCTTTGCTGACAATAGAACATTCTTCAATTCCCTTACTCAACATACGTGCGTAATCGTTGGCAACATGTTGCTTTTCGGTACCAGTTACAGCATCGTGGTGTTGCATTACACCCATTGCTTCTCTTAGTGCGTTTAAGTCAACTTTGTCTTCTGGACCTAGGTCAGCTAACGCGTACAGTTGTTTACAGACCTATTAAAACAAGTATTTTTTTTTGATGTGAAACTTCTTTACGCACGGTAGGGTAAGTTCGTTTCATGCGAGTTGCTATGTAACGAAATCATGCAACGCATTTCCCACGCTGTCTGTCCCTTCGTATGCTTAGATCTTTAAAACTACGCAACGGATTTTAATGCGTTTTTTTTAATAGATAGAATAATTGAAGAGGAAAGTTTATATGTATAATACATGCATAATATAATAAAGAAGCACTGATAATTTTAGAGGCTTGTAATGTAATGTAAATAAACATTTTTTTGCGCTTAAATTGCAAGCGCTGGCTGAACCCTACGAGATAGATCAAAATAATGTTCTACAGTATTGTACACCTTTAAATGGTCTACAAAAAAGTCCGGGATGATATATGTCTATCTCTTAGGGATAACCCACAATAACCATTTCTTATCCTTTACTTTTTACGAGAAATAGTCGCTTATTTACAGTGGTGTTGTCCAACCAGAACGCTCCGGAACGTCGTTCCGGTACTTCCTTTTTGGACAGGAACGTTTTCCGGAACTAAAGATGATTTCTGATAACGACAATTGGCTGACGTATTGAAAAAAAATTAAAAAGAATTGCTGATTTTTTTTTCTAATTTTTGACGAATTTTTATATGTATTATTATAAACAAGGGTTTGAACCGAACCCGAACCGGAACAAAAACCGGAACGAACCGGCTTGTTTTTCCGAACCGTGAACAGGGCCGATCCTGGCGACGGGCGAAAATTGGGGGAAATCCCCCCCCCCCGTCGTCGTCAAATTTGGGACATGAGACCGCACAGAGCGGCCGCCTACCCAGGATCGGCCCTGTCTATATAATTATATATACGCGTTCCGGTAAAAAAAAAATTAGCACAACACCACTGCTTATTTACGAAGCGATTTTAAGCAATACAGCATTAATCCTTATCCAATTAAGTACTTTTAAATACATTGTGCATTTAATATAGATCAATATGGCTCTTTACAGCATGTAATTTAAATGAACATTTTCGAAGATATTATTACAGACTTAAAATGCAGGGACATAGCGGTTGCGGCGGTACCGGCCGGTTTGTATTGTCTAATGACAAAAAAGCTGTGATTGTTGTATATGAAGACGTTCTATAGTATATTTACTGTCAGCATTGCACCCGTGCGAAGCATAGTGTACAAATAATGCCATTAAACCAATTCCTTAACCCCTGTCTCGTTATGTTTGTGTATTTGAAGAAGTTTCACTTCAGTAGCGTGTTGTATCGTATAATTACACGTTGTATTTTTCTTTTTTAATACACTTGGTGTAAATATTTACTGAACATATAAGTGTTACCTGTAAAAAATTGTTTCCTACTCTTTCGAATCTTTTTATGGTAGGACGAGAAGTAAAATATCCTGTCCAATAGGAATGTTCGTCAGATGCGTATGGAAAAAAGTCGTCAGTCTTCACCATCCATGTTAAATTTTTTTTCTTTGCTTCTTCATGTACTGATTTTAAGTAGCACGACGGAGTTGAGTAGAGTAAGTTATACTTAGATCCTTCCTTTTGTTTTAGGTTAATATGCCTTTATTCAAAAAGAAATGATACTTTCATAGAATACAATATTTAGAAACGCTATTTTACTTTTTAGAATTAACTGAAGAGAGTTCTATATTCGGGTTTGATGGTCATTCATACACTGCTCACTTCAATTTCAGCAAAACTTACGCCCTCGTCACGTTCCCTAAAGTTGCCAAACATAGAAGCTAGTGCAAAAAGTTAGATAGACTAGGAATCATCCAAGGAGGTGAGCTAATCTTGGACCACGGCCATCAAACCCCAATATCAAATATTAACAAATGACGCTGATAGTGAATGACTTACCTCTTTGTTTAGCATTAACCTTTTTAAAATTAATAATAAACTAGCGCGCTTTAAAATTATGGTTTGTTGTAACTTTTTTCGAAACTGAAATACTTACATAATCAATTTATCTAAATTTTTAAACCATATGTTTGCATCTTGGTAGTTAAAATCTTCTCCCATTGTAACTAACACATTATTAGAACGATAAACACGTGTCATGTTCTTTACGTAATCTAGGAAATTACTAATCTGCAAGAATTGAATTAGCTTAGGACGTGCTTTTTATTATATAGGTGTTTAATAAATGTGAAAATTATTAATTGTACCTTTTTGTCGAGATTATAAATTGGGCTTTTTTTACTATCTATTATTGGATCATCATTGCACAAAATATCAAAACAGAATCCTGGCGGTGGTGAATAGGTATTGTACAGCACGCTAGTAAATATATCGCTCTGACTTCCTAGAAATACGTACATTCAAGGTTATTTAGTATATTGAATTTTATGTTTAGTAAAAGCCCCACGGTGTTTAAGCAATTTAGACTTTTTAAATAAGTAGCCTTACGGTTAATCAGTCAGTTACTCTCTTAGATGTCACTACCATAAATAAATTTTGTTATCTCAAACATTAAAATTATAATCTAAAACTTGCAAAACAATATTTTTAAGATTAGTTTTTGGTTAGCAATTTATTGAAGCCAATAGTTGTGTGGAGGTAGCTTTCAGAAATTGCTAACCAAACTCAACTTTAAGGTGTCATCATCATCATAAGGTCGTCAATCCTAAGACTGATTGAACACGCACCTCCATTCTTTCCTATCCTGAGCTAGTCATCGCATTTCCTTAAAACTAGAACATCCCACATTCGTAGCTATTTGCGAACCTCTTAACTCCTGTTTCTGTCTCTAATATGTCTCTGACTAGCTCTTCATGCCTGAGAAGGTGTCCTACCAAGCTATCTCGCCTATTCCTTCCATAGATTCCTCTATTTTTCGATTCTTTCTAATATCTATTCATTTCTAACCTTCTCCATCCACGGTATCCTCATCATTCGCTTGTAACACCATATTTCGAACGCTTCTAAATTTTTATTTTACCCTGCGCTCGCCGTCGATATTTCGTAATCAGGTAGGGTCGCGCTCCAAACATACACCATTAGCAATCTTTTTCGAATTTCTAAATTGACCGTTCGAGATGTGCTGATATGAAATAAAAACATCGAAATCGGCATCCATATCTAGTAGTTTCGGCAAATAGCTGTCTAAGAACTTAATATTCCTTACTAATTTGGTATGCGTGCTTTTCGCGTAAGAACATAAGTTGTTCTCAAAGACTATGAAACACATTACTATTAAATTTAAACACAAGCACAATTTCGTCTAGGTTGACCGCTATTCAGAGTACCTACATATAACACTAACGGTAAATATGTGTTACAAATATCCTACTAAATTGCCTGCTCTCTAGTATTACATGTATAAATTATGCTTGTTAAAGTGAAACTACTTTTCCGCAAATTTTTTTCATCCATCCATCGCATGTCGCATTACAGCCGACTACGGTGTAAGGGTAAAACTGAAAGGCGCTCGGCAGAGCAGCCAAGGCCAACATGGCGGCGCACATGACTCGCATGAGCCAATCGTATAGCATTTATATTCTCACTCATTCGTGCAAGTGTATGGCAATTACATTTATAGACTGTGAAATTCAAAGCAAAGATGAAATTATTGATAGAATAACTGAAGTTCAAAATGATTCAATGATTTAAATAAGTATTGTTCTCAGCTTTTAACATGCGTCTATCAACTGAACGATTGTATTTATTATGCATTCCATACTCTCATAAGCAGATTGAAATTAAAATTTACATTTGGATATCTTGTCTACCATTGATTTTCCATTATCATTCCCATTTTCCAATCATTAAGATAAGATTAAGAACGCAATTTTCATTTTAATGCCCTAAATCAAATGATTTTCCGAAAATTTACAGTTAAATGTCTACAATCCGAAAAATCTCACTTGCATCGTGGTTTCATAAAACCACACAATTGTTTTTTTTTTAATTTAATAATTTGCTGCATGACTTTCTTTCTACTAGGAAATACGACAGTTACTAGTTAATACCAAGTATTTTAGAATTAAAAAAACTGTGACGGTTTCGTCCATGAGACTATTTACGGGAGGAGGTGCCAACTTGAAAAAATGTAGGCTAGAGTTTCAAAAGTCGAATTTCTCTGATTGTCTTAAAATTTGCACGACCATTCCGTTTTGATCAAAACTAAAGTACCTAACTAATTGGATGTTTAGCAACGTAACTTAAAAGTTGAATTTGGTTAGGAATATTGCCCTATTTTGAAATATATAATCTTACATCAGAGCTCATCATTATGGACTCTCAGTATTAGGTAAGAATGGATAATCACATTTTCATAAACACTTTACAATACGCAAAGCAATGTACCAAAATTAATAGTGATTATGAATTGAAAAACTTGTAAAATCCAAATTTAAGTTGACGAAGTTACAAAGCAACTTTACTAACCATAAGCTAACGTTCAAAAGGTGCACATCTCAAAAAAGTAAACAAAAGAAAACTTCAATATAAAAACAAAGGCTTTCACGGCCGGAATCCATAGTAGAATGAAGATTCGGGCTACAGGGCCGTGGTCTAAGTGAATTATTCTGTCCAGACGTCTCGTCAGCTACTGCGGCTGACATCCTCAGTGGTACGTGAACGTTCACGTTGTCGACGCAGCACTACCACTGAGGATGTCAGCCGCAATAACCGACGAAACGTCTGAACAGAATAGTTCACTTAGATCACGGCCCTATAGCCCGAATCTTCATTCTACTAAAAGAAAACTTCTTTGAAGCTCTTCCTGTTTGAGTTACCCTGTAGGTGTCTTTTTTTACGAGCATCATAAAATGCTTCAAGATAATCGGAGGACTGATTTTGGGAACTCCAGCTAATCCAAATTACTCTAAAATTGGAATTTTTACTAAACGCAAAATTCAATTTACTGAATAGTATTAAAGTCTCTCATATGCAGCTGAAAGGTTATCAGCTATCTACGGCAAATCCTTTGTTAGTGTATTTTAATACCTAAGCTTGCACTACTTTTCCAGATCATTTCTGCAGATTTTGTGTCGAATCTGGCACGTTTATCTTGATAATCTATTCTTCCAAGAAATATTCCACTGAATCCCAATTGAGAAAAGAGTGAGGCCATTTCCCTGCTATGTCCAAACGGATCGATTTGCCATCCTATTTTTGGATGAGAACATACCCCGAAACTTTCGTTTAGTTTTCTAAAGTGAAAAATGTGTTGGCGATAGATCGAATACGTTTCTTTCCTATAAAGTACCTCAGTCCCCAAGTAAATTGGTCGATAATCGATTGATAATGCGTGACGGCTTCATCATTCATACTCCACGCCCCACCAATTATTTCCAATTGACCGTTGTTGATTAATTTTTTAAATTGAGCTTTCACTATATCATGTTGCTGAATCCACCATTTCCAAAGAAAAGCAGTTTCCACATAAATAAATCTAAATTATTGAAGTGTTATTGTAATTAATTGCTGTGATATTTGAATAAATAAATATTACCTCCGAGATGGGTCTTTCCTAAGAGCATCCACAACTGAATCAATAATATATTGAACTCCTGCTTTTTGAATTGTATTATTGCCTACAATTTTTGTTCTTTAGTAATTAATTTAAAAATAAATACATATATTTTTTTCAACTACGTCTATCTGAAAATATCACATGCTTCTTACAATAAACAATATTCCTAACGTCATATTTTTCAAAAGATGCCCGCCTTTGATGATTGCAATGAAATTCCTATTGCATACGATTTTATAGAAAGTAGAAAGTAAGATAAAAATTAAGTATGAAAGTTTATATGGGAGCTAGATGTGTACGGAGTGAGCAATTTTCTACTTTCGACTATGCGACAACTGGGTAACTATAAGGGATACTAAAAATGAATGGCGGCTTCTCGATCTCTTTTTTTTAAGACTATTGGTGTTAAATAATTCGAAGTGGTCTGTATTCTGTCGAAACTGACAGAAGCGGATCGCGATTTCGATCTTTTTGGATCTCATCAGCGCGTCGCAGGCAGCTCCGACAGAACACAGACCAACTTTTACCTGCTGTCTTAAGAAAATACTACAAACGGCACAGTGAACGCCATCTGTAGCGCGATGCTACATTTTAGGATTACGTATTTTTTAACAAGGTCCACTTGTGTGGATATCTACTTGCTGAAAACGAATCCTGGCGTAGCCAACCTCAACGTGATAGGCACGTTAGCTTAACCGAATAAAATAATTCGAAGTGGTCTGTATTCTGTCGAAACTGACAGAAGCGGATCGCGATTTCGATCTTTTTGGATCTCATCAGCGCGTCGCAGGCAGCTTCGACAGAACACAGACCAACTTTTACCTGCTGTCTTAACAGTGCGTTTCAGAAAATACTACAAACGGCACAGTGAACGCCATCTGTAGCACACTAACACTATTGGTGTTTTTCAAAAATTGCTATCGCCTTTTGTTTTCGCGTTATAAAGAAAAGTTGAAAATTTTGAGTTTTGGCTACATGTCCATATCTTGGTTGTTCGTAACATTAGAAAAAAACAACTTTTACGTTCTTCAAGCACTTTGTTATTTAGAACACAGTGGCGTCGACACCATTGTGTTCTATGTAACAGGAGCCTGAAGAAAATAAAAATTGTTTTTTTTACAAACAATCAAGATATGGAAATGTAGTCAAAACCGAATTTTTCAAGTTTTGTTTATAATTTGAAAACGAAAGGTGATAGCAAGGTTTTGAAAACAGCAATAAATTTGTCTCAAAAAAGAGATCGATAAGCCGCTATTAAATTTTTTGTATCTCTTATAGGTAGTTAGTGAGTTGTCCTATTGGAAATTTGCTCACCCTGTACATTCAGGTACTATTTAATACAATTTTTTTAAAAAAGTGCAAGACCCAAGAGTTAGAAATTGTAATTTGATGTGGAATATCCAACAAGCATATTAATATTTTTATGCCCAAAATATTCGATAAAGGGTAATAAATGTCACTAACAAGGCAACAATGTTTTATGATAATGTAAACATTAGACGATTTATTTTTTTTTTGAATGTTTAAATTTAAAATAATAGGCTATTAACTTAATCTTAAAATAAAGGAAACAACTATCCAAGAAGCAAATGAAAACGATTAAAAATATCGTTACAATCTGTTTTTAATAAACAATGCTACCTTTAACAGCATTTAAATTAAAATATTACTTACTGCCATAATAATATTGATCAACAGTTTTTAGCCAACCAACATCGTCGTGGGTGTGAGGAACAATATGAACATTAATGAGATCTCCTTTAGTAGGATTGCAGGACTAAAAAAAAAACTCCCATAAAGATATTTTATTAATTTATGAAAACGGCAAAATATTCCATGTTACATGTTACATGATAAAGTAAAATACGGAAATGAACTAAACAATTTTAATTAATACTCAGTAATACAATTTTTTACAATAGCAAAATAAATTAAGATCTGAGGCAGGCACTTACTTGGTAACCACACGAAATTTTTTGGTCGTCTACTGGTGTTGAAGCAGTTAAAGACACTACCCCAAAAAGTAACACTAGTACATCCCATCTTTGACCAAACATATAAGGATCCATACTAAAATCCTAAGCGTACGTAGTGTTCTAAATTAAGAAAAAAATAAATAAATTTTTGGTTCACATGCAACGTATAGCATTAACAATAAAATACTTGCTGTTTTGTTGACAGAAACGGCCATGTACTGCGCTTCAAGTAGACAAATAATTTATAATTCCTTATCAAGTAATAAAAGAGCTAGTTCATGGGTCAACTACGGAACTTTACTAACAATTCATCAAGCGGAGTAAGTGCTGAAAACCGAGTCTGCTGCGATAACCTATCTTGAAGGAGGAAGGAGGGAGTTGACCTAGTATACATCTACATATTGCTTTAAATTTAATTCCGCTTGTAGTATGTCAACGTTAAGTAACCTTTTGAAGTTAATGTAATGTTTATTGTTGAAATTACTTTTTAAGTCCTTATTAATTTGGTAGCAATTGTTTTGCACAAGGAGGCGGGATTTCTGTGAATCGAAATATTGTGTATCTCAACTGATATAATATACAATATATGCACGACAATTACAGAGGGTGTTATAAAGTCAATGGCGGACTAAGCCCGCTGGAAGCCCAGGACGGCAAAATGAGATGAGACCCGGTCTGCACAAAAACTGATGTATTAGCAGTATACATTTTGCAAAAACTGATGTAGATTCTATTTGCGTATGCCCCAGTCCTCCAACTTAATGAGAATTTTGATCTTATTTGGGATTTCAATAAAAATTTCTTTTTAAAATTTGGGGGCCCCCAGAACCAAAGGGCAGGCTGACTTCCTTCCCCTAGTCTGCGACTGCCTATGCTATAGTATGTTCACCTTTTATAATGTAATTTGCGATGGCTATTCATGAAACATTTTCTTGGTAAAGGCTTTCGCGGTCAGCATGTGAACTAAAGGCCGTCGTGTGTTTTAGAACCGAATCTGAACAGTATCAGTTCAAACATTTTGTTAAAAGATAAATTCTTTCTTTCCCTGATTTGTGTAGATACATATATGAAAAAGAATCAAGATCAGTTCGAGTCGAAGTAACTAATAAATTTAAATTGGATATTGATGATTTCATTTGTCATGAATGTGGCCAGAATTAGATTTTTAGTTTACCAGCTGACTGAAAGTAATTATTAAGGCTGATTGATAATACCAAATGACCAGAATAAGTATATAATTTAAACAAAACGTTAAGAAAGACCAACAAGTTTAATTAAACAAACAATAAATGTTTAATTTTGTAAACAAAATGTTGAATAATTATGTTGATTGTGGAATGTTAAAGAATATGTTGAAGTTTTGTTTTTTTTTTCTTTATAAGAAGCAATAACTGTGTTTCTTGATAATTTAATTTCATTTTGTGATGTTTTGTTTAAAATATCTGTGATTTAAGCTGCAAAATGTTCCACTTTAAAAATGTCCCTAAGGATGGGGAGAGTTGACTCATATCCCATTTTTGATTCAAATATATATATCACATTTCAGTACTATAATATCGAAAAAGTAATTATGCATAAGTAAACCTAAATAAATAAGCTACATAATACACTACACTAATAAACAAAAAGCGGTTCAAATCTCCCGGACTTCCCCTAACTACCCAGAATCTCATGTTCCTTTCGTACGTTTACTGGTACATGTAATTTGCGATAGCGATTTGGCTGGAGTTCCAGAAACGGACGAACCTAGGTTAAGTAAGGTTAGGGTAGATTCATATTGAGTCGTGATACCTTTCGTCAGATTTTTTACGTTACCGTCATAAGGTCGTCAGACTAGTTAGACACGCACCTCCACTCTTTCCTATTCTGAGCTATCATTCCCATTTCTCTAAAACTAGAAAATCCCACATCCTTAACTATTTACGAACAGTAATCTTATCTAGGTCTATTTTTACCCCTCAGAGTAGCCCTTCATGCTTAAGAAGGTGCCTTACTAACTTATCTCGCCTATTACTTACTGATTTCCATAGAGTCCTGTGTTCTCCTATTCTTTCTAATACCTCTTCATTTTTAACCTTCTCTAGAATGATTAAATATTTATTTATTAGTACAATAATTTGGCCAAAACTAAGGTAATAGGTATATTACCAAATATATTTTACGCTAGT